AACCCTTGGTTGACCTCACAGATTGCAAGGACCTTGTCAGTTTACAATCCCTTATATTTTTTAATTTTTCTTTATTTTTTATGCCTACAACACCTGGTCTTCCTAGGTGGTCTCCCATCCAAGTACTGACCAGGCCTAACCCTGCTTAGCTTTCAACATCAGACAGGATCGGGCTTGTTCAGGGTAGCACGGCTGTAGAAACAACTGTATTCTTGAAATAGCTACATGTGTCAGATGCTACCATGTGCCTAGATCTGTGCTAAACACTTTGAATGCATTACCTCATTCAGTCCTTGAAAAAACCTATGAATAAAGCACTAGCGGTTTATAGATGGGAACACTGACTTGCAGAATAAACATAGCCAGAGGCAGTGGGATCAGGACTGGATATACTTCTACCAGTAGAGGATGGAGGTGCCTATCTCCCCACACCCTTATAAGAATGGGTGTGTGAGCAATCCTTGCAAGTATTTGTCATTTTAAGAAATAAAATGTTATTAACCTCCTGGTTCTTACATGTCCATCTTGGATAGGATTGGACATCTTGGTATGTTTATTGTTTGCATTTATTGTTTTATGAATTGCCTATTCATATCCTCTGCCTCATTTTTACTAGACTGTTCATCCTTTTTTCTTATTGATTTCTACATATTATAAACAGTAGCCCTTTGTTATGTGTTGCAAATCATTTTCTCCCCAGTTTATTTCTTTCAATTTTGTTTTGTGTCTTTCACCAAAAAGAATTTCAAATTTCTTAAGTTGCAAATCTGAATATTTTATGGCCTTAGAGTTTTGTTATCCTTTTCTTAGGAGTGTGTATTTTTCCTTCTTTTCTTATCTTTCTATAATTTCCTCAACATTTATCTGAGATTATTTTGGTGTAAGGAGCTAGGTAAAGTTATTTTTAAAAGGCTATCTAGTTGTCTAAACACCATTTATTGAATAATCTGTCTTTTCTGATTTGAACTATATTTTTTCAGCTAACTTGATTTCTAGTTTTGGATTTTTCTTGAGGTGGTAGCATACTGTTTCAATTATTGTAATTTTAGAATACGTTTTAATATGTAGAACAACTCCTTCCTCATTGAAATTTTTGTACAGTTTTTAAATATTTATGGTACCAAATTTTGAAAAAATTGTCAAGTTTGAAAACATCTTTTGCGAATGTTGATTGGGAATTTGTTGAATTTAGAGACTGATTTAGAACAAATTGACAGTTTTATACTATCTTCATTTTACATATCTTTTCATATTATTCGGTTGGGTTTTTATAGTTTTCTTCAGATGAATCCTGTATTTTTGGCAAATTAGATAATTTGTTTTTTGTAGCTACGTAAATGGGATTTTTTTAAATTATATGTTCTAATTGGTTCTTTCGACATACTAAAGCTTTGTTAACCTTTAGTGATTTATTACTGTCCATCTTAGCTGTTTTTAATAGATTAGGCTGAATTCTCCTGAGTTGGTAGTCATGTATGAAACAACTCCAAATGATAGCTTTGCCTCCTCTTTCCAATAGTTTATTTTGTTTTCATTTCTAACAGCTTTGGCAAGTACTTCAGAATAATGTTAAGTGATAGCCATTATAATTGGTCTTATTTGTTCTTAACTTTCATGGAAACTTTTTAAAATTACTAACAGCTTAATGCTTTTGACCTATGAGCATAATGTTTTAGTCATATTAAAGAAGCAGTCTTCTAGACTTACTTTTCAAAAGGTTTTTTATTGGATTACAAGTTAAATTTTATCAAGTGCTTTTTCAACTTCTGAAATGATCATACTTATTTTCTAATAATATACCATTGTTATGTTCCTGGGAAAATTCTCACTTGGTTACAGTGGTTTTCCTTTTAAGCTAATGTTAGATAGTATAGAAGTTCCTGGTTATCTGAATGTAATTGCTATTAGGAAAAATCTACATAAACTAAATCCTTCAAAATGACTAAATTTTGTTAATAGTTAAAAAGTGAGAGGCGTTTGAAAAAGGAAACTAAAATTATGTAAATATGTCAAACAATTTTGTTAGTTTGCTCTAGGTACTCATTTATAGAAAAAAATATTTTTTAGGTAATTTTATCAGAATACTACTTATTTTAGATTTTCATAATATAGTTTTAAATAGGATATTTTTTAACAAGTTTTTGAGGCATCATCATTTTCTTAGGAGCCTTTCCTTATATGCTGATATGCACATTATTATCTCAAAATGACCATCATGTCATTTTTCTGTATCAAATTTCTTTTGTTCAGTTGTTAACTGATATAACTCTGCCAGAGCCTTATCTGCCATTGGCTTTGGGTGTGAATTCTCAAGCATCACTTTCCATAGATTGCATGAAAATTCTTCAACTCTTGCAAGATTTTCAATTTTAGTTTGCAATTAATTTATATTGCATATTAAGACATTTATTGCATATATTATGACATCCAATTAACTAAGAAGCCAATGTGATGGCCAGAAAAAGATGCTTTCATTAAGTGAAAAAAATATTTGTGTTGGAGACTAACTATAGAAGAACAGGAAGGGAAAGACCCTGTAACATGAAAATATTCACTAATATTTTCTTATATTGCTTTCTTATTCACTTTGTAACTATACAGCCTTCAACGATGAAGACTCCTGCATCGGTATTTATGAGCAAGCTTTAGATATAAGTGGGTGAGAGGGGAGGGGGCGGATTCCTGGGATCCATCATTAGAATTTTGATGATCCAGAAATTTAACTGAGAAAAAATTTTTCATTTTTATTTTCATTACACCTGTAATGTAAATGTAGCATTTTCTTCCACTCATAAGCAGACCACAGTAGTATTAACAGTACTTATGTTATCACATATATTACAATTTTCACAGATGTTATGAAATGCAACTTAACCCTCATCACTACTTCAAAATTATTATGAATACGTCTACCAGTGATTAATTATAGAAGAAGCATATATATATTACTGTATCTCACTTAAAATATATTTTGATACTTGATTTCCTTTGTAATTTTACATATCTTATTTTTTTAGATTATAAAGGTTTATCTTGATAAAGGACCCACAGGCTTCACTAGAATCTCTGGGAGGTGGGGTGTGGTCCATGACATAAAAAGTGATTACTAATCCTGATTTCTCTTTTTGTTATGTCTTAGAATAGTTATATGTTTTACTCCTATTCCGTATCTACCTATTCCAGGTTAACAGAGATGGTTCTGGGACTGATGCTTTCAGGCAGTGCTGTCACTGTGCTGCGGGCGGTCCACTCATTCAGTTTGTAAGGTTGCCAGAATGAAAGGGGAATAATGATAAACCCCGCTTAACCAGCCAGTAGTTACAGCCAATCAATGGACCTGAATCCTAGACAGCTGGACAGGAGCTAGGAGACCATGCTGCTGTCACATACTGGAGCATTGGAACCCTGGGAAACCTATAATCTGTGCAGGGAAGACTGACTCAAGAAAGCCAGTTATAACCAGGCAATGGAAATCTCAGTCTGCACATAGGTCTAACCTCAAAAATTATGTCTTAAGGTCACTAGAAAAACATGATGATTTTCTGGGATGTTTTGCATCTTGAAGAAAGAAACGATAATTTAGGGAGTATTTGAACAATCAGACTTTCTCATACATTAGGTGCAGATAGATTCATTACACGTTATTCTTTTTTCCTTTCTTTTAATATGCAGCTACCCTCCAGAGAGACCGGATCTTCAAACATTTTACCAGGAAGCGCCAAAGGGCAATGCGAAGGCGAGTCCACCAGATCAATGGACACAAGTTTATGGCTACATATCTGAGGCAGCCCACCTACTGCTCTCACTGCAGGGAATTCATCTGGTAAGACTTTCCCTGGCTTCTCTCCTGCTAAGAGGCATTCTCTGGTTGTGTGTGATTTTGGGAGAAAGCATGATTTTTAAGAATTGTTTTAGGATCGATATTTGCCTCTTACTCTACTCAATTGACCTGACAATTTTAAATCTTAAAAAAAAAAAAAAAATCTAAAGCATTTACAGATCCAAGTTTTGAATATTATTTCTTTTTCCAATCATTTTGGTGTTAATGAATCACGAACTGGTCAAAAAGCACTAAATGAGAGGCTAAATCAGCAAATAAATAATCTGCTCCTGAGGAAGAAAATATATCAACAGTAGTGCATTAAGAAGGAATGAATCATATAATGAATTATGGAAATTAATTGTTGTAAGTAAAGTAAGCACAAGGTAGTCTTCAGCCTTATGGTATGTCGCCAATGATAATAGCTTTTAGTGATCATATTAATCCCTGGCATGTAGGAATTAAGATAATTAATAGTTAAGAAATCCTAGATGAATTGGGGCAATATCTTTATTATACATGTGACTCAAGCTTATGTCTCAGTGGCAAATCTATAATGTAAAATAAATTTAAGTATTAATTATCTTCAATTAGAGGCAACATTAGCATGTTTATTTGGAAAAAGAAGAGATACCCTATCACATACACATGTACATACACACACATCCATCTCAGGAGAAAACAGTTTAATATTTGCAGCATGAAAGGACATCTATGTTTTTGTTGCATACGAGTCATTTTGTTTAAGGCAAAAGCACTTGGTTCAGAGTAATTTCTGAATATTGATCAATTACTTTGTTTTTTTTTTTTTTTAATACTTTGATTTTTATACCTTTTAGTAGTCAGAATTCAGGGTTAGTTAGTGTTTCTGTCATTTGCAACCAAGAATAGTGTCTTGTCTAAATTAAAGGTCCCAAACTGGCTGTTGACGGGAAGCCTACAAATGTGCTATCACAACTATAGTCTTTAGGAAAAAGTTCCTACTGCCTTTTCTATTGAAAAAATATGAAGCTTGAGCATCTTTGAGCCCGTTTTCCTTCTACGCAGAAGGCTGCACGTTCTAGTTAGCTGGAGTCCCACTTCTCCCTGTGGTTTGTCTGACCCAAAGAGTGACTGTTCGTTGCTCTGTATTTCATGTCACATCATTCTGCTACCCTCCTTTTTGTGACCTGCCTGTCCCTATAGGTATTTGTGGTGACAACCTGTGACCTCAACTGACGTTCTTAATGGAAACTTATTTGTTAATTTCACTAAACTTTTTCCATGAAGGAAACAACCCCCACCCGACCAGCCTTGTCTCTCTGTCATCTCTCTCCCCTTCCCCTCCAGACACACAATGTCGGTATATGTGTTACATATACATGGTTAAAACTATGGACTCTGACATTTAATCTCATCACCAACTAGATGTATGAACCTAGACAAGTTATATAACTCATCAGTGTCTCCTCATTTGCACGATAGAGACAATAATTTTATTTTGTTTATTTAATAACTTTGATATAGTACTTAAAATGCCAGGCACTATTCTCAGTATTTTACATTATCAATTTTTTTTTTATCTTCATGATAAATCTGTGAAGTAGGTACTGTGATCATTATCCCTTTTTATAGAGGAAACTATGGCTCAAAGAAGTAACAACTTCCCCAGTTCACATCCAGGCCATCTGGCTTCAGGGTCTGTGCTCTTAATCCTCCTGTTATGTGCGCTATCTCGCATAATTTTGTGAGGATTAAATGAGATGCTATATGTTAGCTACTTGACTCAGAACCTAGCACACCCTGTGGGTTTAGTACATGTGTTTGTTAATGAGAAGAATTATATTACCATCACCCAGAGACTATATTGGGAAGAGACAGTGGTAGAAGCTGTGGACATGATGGGTATATTTTGGCCATACTTCTACTCTCCCATGGACTCCGGGGTGATGTGGGAAAGGAAAGAGGGAGGGTGCCTTGGGTCAGGCAGCTGCAGTGGACTCATCTGTTTATGTCCATATGTGTATCTGCATCTGTTTATTTCACTCTATACATCTTCACATGTATGTGGGAGAGGATGCTAGAGCAATACTAGGTGATAGGGCAATACATCAGACCCACGTACAGATGAGGGTTGTTTTTCATGGAGGATTTGGGGGATTGCTACAAAGGTGGATGGAGTGAGAATTGCCAACAGCCATCCATTTGTATCATTTGCAGCATTCTTGTCCATCAGAGGGTTTCCTATGTGTCTCGTGGTAACAAACAAGGGCTCAAAAAGCACATCATCTTTGCTTCTTCTCTGAAAGTGTGTTTTTCATAAAGAATCAGAGAATGAAATCTGTTTTCCTTGAGTACTGTAATTATAGGAAAACTGTTGCTTAAATATTCAACTGATAAAACTTTTTTCTCTGTTGTCTTGAACAGGGGAGTATTTGGGAAACAGGGTTATCAATGCCAAGGTAAGAAACCATTTTTAAAACTATGTTTAATCTTGTTCCTATGTTAAAAAGTGATTATACCAAGAAGAAACAGGATACATTCCATTGAGGTTGTGAAAAATTACTCTGTAGGCCAGATG